GGCGGGGCCGCGAGTGCTCCGCCCCGCTGGGGCCGGGGGTGGCTCTGCCTTTATGCAGGAGTAGCCTAAGTTAAAGGACCGGGGGTAGAGAAAGAAAAAAGGCAACAAACAAACCCACCAACCCCACAGGAATCGCACCATATTACCTATCCATTGACCAGACATCGTTCATACAGAATGAACACAAAAGCAATCCTTAGAAGGTATCAGATGTGGTAGTTTCCCCGAAAACACGAGCTACATTATCTTCTCAAATATTACACAAGCCAACAAATAAATACAGATGTTAAAAGGATTCCTCCATGCTGTGCATTATAAGGTATTTTTGCTTTGTGCAAAAGACATTAAAACAAACTTCTCTGATTACCAATGCCCATCTACTGTAAGAGCTTTTTCCCTTTGTGGTCACGTGCATTCCATTTTTCTTCTCCTAAAATAATTTAGGGGGTTAAGCTTATAGGAAACCTTTTCCAGATAAGACATTCGCAAGCTCCTGCTGATTTCAGGAGAAAAAATGTCCCTTTGGAGAGAAATGCTTGTCATAAACCATTCAAAAACCTTATTTATATTATAAAAACTGACAGCTTTAATAACAACATGCGTTTTTTTCTCATTATTGCACCTCAGCTCAAAGCCGAGGAGTTATCCTTGGGGACTAGGAGAGGCGGCTGCAGCTTCTGTGGTTTATTTGGTACTTAAGTCCCCCAGTTAACACTGGGGCCAGCCCCAGCCATCTGCCATGGGGGAAGGTTACACCTGTAAAGGCCTTTTACTTTTTACCAGCAATTTCATTAACCATCTTGTCCTGGACTCTAGTCTTGGGTGGAAATGTTATATCCCCAGGCCCTGCACATTCTGGAGAAACCAAGGATTTGGTGCATGTAGTTTTCTTCTTCTCCAGTCTCTTCTGAGCTGAGGCACCACATGCTCTGCACTCATCCAGCACAGCAGGACTCCAGCCACTGAGTCATAAGAGGCCAACAGGAACTTGATGAAATCACAGCAGTTTGGAACACTGGAAGGATCTGGCAGCTAAGGAGATGTAAGCAGCTCAAGAGCTGTGCCTGCATCTCAGTTAACTGTCTGCATTTAATAGGGAAACCATTTTAGTGCTTTTCCTTTTCTCCTGGCTAGAGGGATAGTTTTGCTGTGATTGATAGTCAGGGAGATCCCTAACTAATCCAGCTGAATTTACAAACAGGTAGGGAATGGCCTGAGGCTCCCTGTGTACCTTGGGTAGAGGTGGAAGCAGATAAATTCTTATCACATCACAGCTCCACACTCTGTAGCGGAGCTGCAGCCAGGACTAAGAAGAGATAGGGAACCTTTGAGCCAAGCCCAGGGGCTGTGTACAAAACAAAGCACATGTGACAGCTAAAGACAAGCGAACCCTCGAATTGCAGCTTTTAGTTTATTTCTTTTTTCCTTTGCTAACCTTCCCCCGAGAGCAGCAGGGGCTCCTCTGCCTTTCTTCAGAGATGGCCAAGTCACAGCTGCGCCTCTGTCACTCCTGTAACTCCTTGCATTAGCTTTGCTGCACTGCAGGAGAGGGGCTACCACTTCACCTCCTGCTCAGGTGCAGAGCAGGGGGAGCTTACATTATGCTTTATATGCTCTCTCTGAACATGAGGGATCCTGTAACACTGATGTCTCTCATGGGGATGGAAGAGGGAGAATGGCTTGGAAACCAAGTAGGTAATGCTGCTTAATCCTCTGTCCCAAATGCTCTTAAACTCCCACCTCTATCACTCATGGACAAATACATACACAGACACACACGCCACTTCAACCATTCCAGTCCCTTGAAATGAAGGATCAGAATGAAGTTCTGCTTTACATGCTCTCTAGACCCAGTTATCCAGTTATAAAAGCTCTTCTTCAGCTTGCAAGCTTCAGACAGAGACAGGCTGGAGATGCTGCTCGGGCCCCATGCAGGATGCTATGCTATCCCAAAGAATGAAGTGAAAAACCTTCACATCACTGCTACAGTCACCACACATGAGCGAGACAGAAGGTCAAAGCCTTGCTGCTCATTCCTTCTCCTAATTCAACAGGTCAGTCAGGGGATTTCAACCCTGTACAGCTCTTTTGTGACAAAACAAGTCCTTTTCCAGTTGTTAGAGGAATTTCCATGGCAAATACAGCACAAACAGCACCTTGTTAATGTCTGTTCGCTTCAGAGGGAAGGGGAAGAGGAAAGAAACTTTCAAGGCTGCATATAAAACATTCCAGAACATCTTCTTCCTCCAATGGTTTAATGATTGTTTGAGGGAGACTGTACACCATCTCAAAGTTCAATGTGGCCAGACCCTGAATGTTATTTCAAACAGCAGTACATTCACCTAATCCTGCTGTAATAAATGTTCTTTATATTAAGTCTTTTGAAGGATTTTCTTTTCTTTCTAAAGAATGCCCTTGTAAGTTGTACTGAGATTTTTGGCAACAACAATTATCGAGATTTGATTTCTAAAAGGATGCGAGTTCTTGGTCAAAGGGAAACTCCATGTTGGTGCAGGGCTGCCCGAAGAGACAGCAATGTTCTCCTTCTCAACCTCGACACTTCTCTCTGTATGCCCAAAGCACCAAAGTTCTTCCAAAGAAGTTCACAGAAGTCTAAACAAAACATCATGGGAAAGGTCGCAGAGCTTTATGTTGGAGGAAGGGGAATAAAACATTTGTCTCCTGCTTATAAATAATTTAAAACAATCCAAAGATATCTGTACAAACACATCCAAACAGAAAAAAAAAATCATATTCCACAGATGTTGAAAGATTCAGCGACCTCTTGGGGGCACAGGTGGAGGATAAAAGCCTTCACTGCTTACAGGCCTATAAAAAGATACAGAATAAGAATTTATTAAAAAAAAAATCAAAATAGAATCCTGAGACACCCTACAACACACAGCAACATCCCATCTAAGAATGATGCACACACAACAGTTACTCAAGAAGAGCAGCACATACTGATGGTTACCAAAAAATAGGTTATCAATGATTCAGCAACAAGTGCAGGCATCAAGACGCGTGAGAGCCCTGTTCCTGACCAAGTTATTTTTTCATTCTGCTTTTCCATTTACAGTATTGCCGCTGTTCCTGAGAAGAGTTACTACTTGGAGTAAAATTGTGATAACATAGTAGATCTTTTCTGAAGATTAGATGAGGAGCAATGGGAAGACATCAAATGTTAAAAAAGTACTACATATAATTCCTTGACAGAGCCAAGTCCACACACAGAACTTACTACCTTAACACAGCACTAATTATTATTCCAGCGCTTGAAGAATTTTATTAGTATCTGTACTTATATGAGTCTCTGGGGCCTGGACTACATACATTTGCACTGGTCAAAATAAAGGCTGTTTCTGAGTTACAGTGGTCTAACTGAAACAATGTACAAAACCTCACACCTTTTATCAAACTACTGCAATTCTTACTTTGAGACAAATCACACACATCAACAAATCTGCTTTGGAAAGATCTGAAATTTGTTAAAGTAAAAAAAGATATATCCAAAAGAATGCTGAAAGGGAATTCCCTCTGCATTGCATTTGGTGTCTTGTGAGAGAATTTTTTCAGAAGAATCAAATATTGAAGCTCTGCCTTAGCCAGGATGACATTTTAGCTGGGTCAGTCTAATCTATTTTAGAAAGTTTTGTCTTTCAGTAGGGCTGTTTCTTGCAGTGTGTGAAACAGCAAGAGAACTGTGATAGGCAGGTTACCAGCAAGGAAGCCATCTCCACCAAGTCCTCCAGATGAGCAGAAATGATCCCACAATTACTGTGGGTGGTGTGTGGGGTTTCTGTGTATAGATAACAGCCTACTAATTGTCTTATTGAAGGGGACACGTTCTCTTCAGCCCTGCTCTCTGCTCCATGAGGGCTTTACCTGCTCGCGCCTCGGGGCGGCACTCTGGGAGGCCTTTCAGGCAGCAGGAGAGGCAGCCTCTCTGCTTGGTGGGCAACAGGGCTGTGGCTTCTAGCTGCTTCTGGGACTTCATTGTCCTATGAAATGAAAAAAAAAAAAAAAAAGAAAAGAAAGAAGGAAAGAAAAAAAAAAGTTCATTGGGATTCAAATGCTTCAAAAATACTTCTTCATCCCTAATGTGCCCATCTCCCTCAGGGTTGTTCCCAGTACATAGTTTCTGGACTGAACTTATTGGCATTTGTAAACATATATACGAGCAATGGAGAAAGCAGGCAGATGTGCTATTAGTGATAGAGCATCTGTATACTTAGTGTTTTGTGAAATAGGACTACATACTAATCTTGGCTACCCAGCTAAAGCTTGTGAGCCACCTAGGCAGTTAAATTCTGAAGTGGCTGGCACTGATGGCACAGACAGTTTCTGAACTGCACTAGTAAGGGCAGAAAAAGCAGAAGACAAGAGCACAGAAAGGGCTACATAGGAAAGAACTCAGTTCTTGCCCACTTCACTACATATGACCATTTCTGCAAACGCAGTGCCAGCCTTGAGCTTTTTCTTTTGCATGAAAACAGAGCCATGCACTAAAGGCCAGTGGACATATATAAAACAGATGTGGGCTTACCTCACTGTCCCCTTCCATCCCACTGCTGACGCTCAATATGCTCCGAGTGCTAGAGCGGTTACTTGCACTACCTAGGTTTAGTAAGCAAGAAAAAAAAAAAAAAAAGGTGATTAAATCCTGGTGGTACAACTGCAAAACACTACCTTAGGACTTTCAATCTCATGCTTAAGCCTTTCAGAAATTCACCTAAATTGCTAAATGTTGTATTCCCACTGTTACTTCTTTACACATTCATGATCCCACCAACCACATTTCATACAACTCATACCACAAGGCTAAACCAGTTTTCCTTCCTTTCAACAGATTTCTCCCCTATCTAGGTTCAGAGTTATGTTTGAATATCTGCAACCATAATCTATCTGAAAGAGTGCAGTGCCAATATCAGCTTGCAAGTCAGATAAATATTTACACAACTGCTACACGCCCAAGTTCTATGTATATTTAAACTGTCGATCCCCAAGCTGTTCACAGCTAGACAGAGGTAGGTGGTTCAGAAGCTTGTTACACATTCACTATTGGAATGTCTGTGACTGCATGAGAGGTTATCATTCCCACTGCCTGCTCATCACAAAGATAGCTGCATATCACAGGAATGTTTCCTAGGTCATTTCAGGGCTAAAAGTGAGTTGTCTTCAAACAACTTCAGCAACCATTTAAGCAAATCCAAACCTCAAGGGGCACATAGAGGACTGGCTCTCAGCTTGCAATACAGCAAGGTCCTTCAGACCAGAACAGCACACTGCCTCTTGGGAATCACACAGTGATGGATCATCCTCTTTTCTATGAGAGCAGCTGCTCTCAGAGAGCAGCATCTTGATGTACCTGAAGTTGCTTTTAAAGTTTTAAGAACAGTCAACCTGAAGCATGTAGGATTTAGGGTGGCAGTGTCATCACTGGAGATTCAGGAATGGAAGTCCTGTACCTGAGCTGACTCCAGAGTCAGGCTGAGAAAACCTTTTCCATTCAGCTTCCCTGTAGAGAGGAGTGACACCCAGGATTTGCTTACTTGTTGTGCTTGATGTGCTTTCTGTTTTCCAGTCTCCTCGCTTAATCTCTTTTTTTGGTGGGAAAATGTTTTTCCGGGGGGCATATTCATATATGCCACATTCTGGTTTCCCCAAAGTGTTATGAGAATGACGAATGGGCACAGTTATTTCCAAATCTGGAAGGGAAAAAAATCAAAAGGAACACCTCAGGAGGGCCCATGCAAGTCTTTGCAAGACAGCTTAGCATTCCAACACAAAGCTAAACACAGTCACGTAAAGGAGATTGTAAATGTACACATGTGAATCATGATTCTCTCCACTGATGTGAGCATCCTTTCCTCATCCTTGGAAACAGGGTAAAGCAGCTTCCCCATGTTTCAGGCAACAGATTTTTTTTATGCTTTTTGACATGGGTGTGAATACGAACACAGCATGTAATAGACACTATACAGACCCATTCCCGCTTGAAGATTTTACAAATGTTATCAGCTACTTCGTTACCAGAGAATGTCAGTCAGAGACTCTTACCTGCATTTTTGCCTGTTTTTTGCTTCTCCATTTGCCTCCGTGTTATGCTGTCTCGTAACCGTTTCAGATTTTCCTAGAAACATCAACAGAGAATCTTTTTAGGGCTTCAGATAAGTGAGGCTCAACAGCTCCAACAATGTCAGTAATGCTTCTGCTAACCTTGCAACAAAACCAAAGAAAGTCTGCTAGATCTGCCTGAAATCCAAACCATGTCAACAGATTTTAATCTATTCCCTTCAGAAATCCACATATGCCTTTCAGAAGCCAAGTTTTTTTTTCAGATGTTCATTGTTTATGTTCAGGTCAAGTTCACAGACTCACTGGTATTTGCAGATAAGCAGAACATTTGGTTTAGAATTCCTTCCATTTTTCATCTCCACTGCTAGTGGCACTAGTTTAGAAACAGGACTCTCGTTCAAGTCACTGCACAGTCCTTTTTGTACTTACAAACAGGTGAATCTGAGTGCAGCAGCAGAGAAAGCTGCTATGCAAGCCAGAGTACAAGGAACAGTTCAGAGAGAATTCAGGATGTTTCTACAAAAGCAAGAGGGGAAACCTGGAAGTGTGAGTGGTAACAGTCTCTTCACTGTTGTGTGGGAGAATACTGCACCTCACTGTAAGAAAGGGGAAGGAAAGACATTTTCAGCAGAAAAATACATACACATGTGGAAGTAGAAACCCCTGGATAGGGAGGGAAGTAGAAGGAGCAATTGCTATAAGATAAGGCAATATTCTGGAGAGAGGCTTTGAAAGATGCTCACAGGACTGAGATTCAAGGGCAGGAGAAGGTGACATGAACCTTAATTGCGATCTTTGAGCTCTTAGACAGCAATAAGCCACAGAGCACCGAGTTCCTCCCTGCCACAGATACCTGCTAGAGCAGTGCTGCTTGCTTTATTTACAGAAGAAGGGGCTCCCATGAGTACATGCTGAAGAGACAGGACCCTTATATGCGAGTATCAGGAGAAGGAAAAGAAAAAATCTTGGTTTTGCCCTGACAGCTCTCAAAACACAATCTCAGAACCTCAGATGTCATGTCAGACTTTTCCACAGCATGAACAAGAGCTCCAGAAGAAACAATCTGAAGTGGGACTCCACTCTAGCCTGAGAATCAGGGCTTTAAGCTATGGCTGCTGGTTCTGCTGATAGTTGCGCTGCTGCTCTCAGCACACTGATTCCCTTAGTTAGCTGAGCCATTCAAACTCTGCTCCAACAGTGAAAGAAATTAACCACACCAAACTGCTTATATTTAAGATACATACATAGAGAGGCAGCTGTGGAAGCAGTCTGTACCTGTTGGAAGCGGAATGATTCTGATCTCTTTTTCTGATTCAACTGCCACTCTTTAAAATGAAGTACAGCTTCATCAACATTGAGTATTCCCATCTTCACTTGTTCTTGTAATGTGATCAGCTGCCGTTGACCTGGTGTTTTCATTCCAGCAAATGGATCATATATGCTTGATTGGGACAGGTCCCTTACAGGCCTCACCGCTGGCTCTGAGAAAAGACCACCACCGAACACATTACTGAATTAGTGACACCTATCCTTTGCACTGGACACACAGAAATTTAAGCAACCTCAACATAAGAGAGATGCCTAAAAAATTAATATCATGGATTGAATGTTTCCCTCAGACAAGTCTTCTGTCCTTAGGACATCCAACTCTTTGTCAGGGCTAAAAGAACCAGCTGAGAGACAGCATTGTGTGCAAACATGTTGTAGAGATAATCTCTTCTTAAAGCATAATTCAAGGGAACAGCACAAGATGTATTCCTTGAAGTGCTCTGTTTTACCACTGCAAAAGTCTCTCCTAGCAATGTGTTAAACAGCTCCACTTCCACAATCACAAAACTATACTATTTCTAGATAATCTATCCAGTGCAATTCCAGAAACTGAAAGGTGAAAATCCATCCTACCGATGCTAGGTTTTTGTACTTCATTTGCAACATAGAGAGGAGCTCCTAACATGTGATATCAAAGCTAGAATGTGGATTCTGGCACCTGATAGTGCACAGGACTAGAGGTTAAAGAAATAAGGACACAATGTGGAAACAGAGATCAACGGGAAATAGTTCACTAACAGTTATATTCCAGGAAATTGTGATTGATGGGCAGTGACTATATCCAGAAGATCAAAAGTGAAACATTTCTCTGTAAAATGGGTCACCATTAAAAAAATGGACTTCAGAGAATATTACAGTTCTGTCTTGGGGTATACTCTGAGAGAGGAGACATATGTACAGGATGTGATAAAAGAGCATTACAATCTGAAGACATAAAAGTCTTCAATGTCACACAAGGTAAATAAGGTTTTAAAAGATTCATTCATATAAAACTATTATCCCCTGTTTGTTGTAATTATCCCATATGTTCTTCACATAAAGGAAACTACTTCACCAGATTTGGTCTTGGATTACTGGTAGCATTTTGGGGGCAAACTTCTGACTTACCTTTCTTAATCCTTCCTCTAGAGACATAGTAGTTCTCAGGTCTTTGAGCTTTCTGTGCAAAAACTGTCAAACAGATACTTTAGACACTGAAAATTATCTCAGGAAGATAGAAACAGCAAGGCTTAACACATGAAATTCTGCACCACATTACAGTTTATGCTGCTTCACAGAAGTCCATGGGAGAAAACCAGATAAGAAGTTGTATGGCAGAACTCTGTTTCCATTGATCTCAAAAAATTTGAGAGAGATCTGTCATGTTTCCCCACGGGAAAGGTGGGAGAACAGGGGGTGGAGAGAAAGTACCACTGCAACTACATTTCCACATTTGACTGGAGTTCTTGTTAGCACATTCACAAAATATTACTAACAAGTTTTCAAAAACGCCTATGAACCAATAGGTATAGTTTTCTTTAATTTCAATTAAACCCTATCTCAGAGAGAGGGATTGAGGTAGAAAACTGTGTCCTACACAAATACTACTGAATCAATTATGCTATTATAGCAGCAATGCCTCAATTTGTTAAGTTGATTGTGATCTTACAATATGAGGATATTTCCCATTTAGACTTGTTCTAACTGACTGCAGAAAATTTGTCATCCTACTGCTTTCATTAAGAAGCAGTAGGTCAAGACTTTGGGATACAACATCCCCACACTTCCAGAGTAGGTAGGAAAAACACAGATCTGAAACTGGATCCCAAAGGTAATCCAGCTGTCACAGGCTGAGAAAGGCTCCAGAGCCAAATAACCTACAGGTTTCAGAAAACATATGTAGAATGACACCTGGGGCCAAAATCAGCCTGCAGTTTAGGTCCTGGTACCCAACCCACCTTTGGAGATGTACAGCTCATTGTCTGGCTGTGGAGGGCTGGATTCAGGTCTTGGAACAGGAACTGGAGGTCTGCTAGCCATTTCCTGTGGAATAGTATTTCGTTCCACTGAATAGTAGAGATCTCCCTCATCACACTGCTGGTACACTTCTTCCTGTGATTCGGGCACATCCGCATTACTACCTACAAAAAGAAAAGTTTGTAAGAAGCACAAACAAACCACATTCCTCCACTCTGTGTGGCACATTCTTACCAAGCTGGCCATTTCACTGGCACGAGAATTAAAACCTATACAAAGATAGAGACAAATACAGACATTCCTAAGTAAACAGCAGCTGTGTGCTTGCCTTTGCTAGTACGCAGGGACTGGAATTTGAAATCACTCATCATTCTTGGTGAGAAAGGAACTTCATTTGCAAGATCACCTCACAAGCTTCACAGGCTACTTTCTGTTGCGCCAGGTCGGTACTCCCCAAGGCAAGGCTGTTCTCAGGAAGTGATGGGGAGCTGGCTCCTATTCTTACAGATCAAGGAGAAATCTCAAATTGTATTTACTTAATTGTGCTGTTCTCCTCATCTCTCCCAACAGATCTCACCTTCTAAAAACTTGCGGAGCATTGAGTCTTTTGTAGTTAGAGAAACTTCATCTCTGTCGATCGGAGTGTCTGGTTTTGACTGAAGCATCTCTACATCTAGGAGAAAAAAAAAAAAAGATCAGGAATATGAACCTGTTGATTATGCCCTTAAAAATGTGGAAGCTTAACATAACCAGATGGAATGATATTTCTGACTGGACCTTTGGTTTATAGTTAGAGACAAAGCAGAAACTAGACAACAGACTATGTGTCTGCCTCAAAAAGGGCTTGTGAGTTGCTAAGTTCAGTCCATCCTGCACAAATCTTTTCCAGCTGTCTGATGATCACACTTGAGAAGAGAGACATGGCTGGCATTGCTTAGCAAGAAGTCCAGACAAGGCTGTAAGCAGATGCTGAGTATTAGTTATTGCTTTTGAGAGTGTTGGCCAGGTGAGTGTTTTGGTCTCTGCACACAGTTCCTGAGAAGCCAAACTGAGCAGACATTTTGTGGACTGGCAAAACAAGGCATTAAGAGCAATTTACCCATTATGCAGAACATGATATTTGTTCTGTTTATTGGCTGAACTCAAAATAGCTGGATATGTTAATTAGACTAGGAGGTGTTTAGAGTGACAAAGGATATTTTAGTCTTGAGCAAGGAGCAACAACAAGCAATAAGGTACTTCATGAAATCACTGTTTTGACACAAAGTTTCTTATTAACATTATATAAAGAAATGTTAAGGCATACTGCAAAATATCAGTTAACATATAAATTAGATTGACTGGGTTATTTGAGACAATATTTAATAAATAGCCCTAAATTTCTGAAAATTTCCTAAATAGCCCTAAATTTCTAAATTTTTTTTTAATATCTGCTTATCTGCTGACCTATTTTTCCCCTGCAAAGCTGAAAACAGTGCAAGTGAAAAAGGGATAACAGTATGTTAGCAAGATTTTGCTTCACTATTTTTTTTAATAATAATAATAGTCAAAGAACCTATCGAAGGTCATGTGAATGAACCCAAGTTAGTTTTAACCTCAGACGTGTACCTCCAGGGCAGCCACAGCAATACTGCCTGCTGCTCGGCTTCACCACTGCAGCAGCTTCATCACTCTGCAGCCCATGGCAAGTTTCCTGCAGCAAATGTGCTCACCATCAACCTGCCTGGAAGTTCTCTCGGGTATCACTGCACTACGTACAGCTCATTGTCTACGTAGGAGTAGAGATTTGCCCTTTGAGCATCCTAAAGGACTGGCATTACTGTAGAATGATTTTTCCACCTATTAGCAAATCAGATTATTGTTTTAAACATGGCTCTTAGAAATAAGCTCTGAGCAATTACAGGCCCTCTACAAAACCACTACTTCATGGATTTGGAGGCAGAACAGTGTGAGATGTGTGGAAAGTTCCTTTCATTCTCTGTGGAGAGAACACCACTTTTTTTTTTCTATTTATTTTTGTTTTCTATTGTTTGTTTGTTTTCTATTACATAGTCGGTGTAGTTAAACTTCTCATCTAATTAACTTTCCTTAGTAGACATGACTGCCACTTTCCTGCCCTCCGGCATATAGCCCTATTTTGCATACAAAGGAGAACTAGAATCTCACTCATACACCAAAACTGAAGAAACATGCTGGATTTATTCTGGATTTATGCCACCTGTTCTAATTGGTGCAAAAACAGCAATTGATATTGATATTGAGACAGAAGTGATGAGAAAAAGGGACACAAACTCTGGGCATCACTGCACTGTTCCCAGGTTTTCTTGAAACTATTGGGCAAAGCTGTTTTGAAGGGCTAGCAGGGAGAGGGGTAAGTACAGAGTTTCTAGGTGTCAGTCTGCACCAAATTTAGTAACCTAAAAGGTACTTCCTCAAAGAGACTTTCAGTTTCCCTTTGCAAGGTTTCAGGTTTAAGGAGCTCAACCAAGTTGCAAAGAGACAGAAGACAAGTTACAACCTACTGACCCTCCACAAGAGCTAAACTATGCATGTATGGACACCGTTTAGAAAGTAATAACACTTCTCCTTTAAACGTTCATAAAATCTGACTGCCAGATATTCCTACACATGATGAAAGCTACCTCTTTGCAGAGATCAGTTCTTCATTATGCAAGACAAAGACTTCAGTGTACTGCTGTAACTTTAAAAGTAGTTGCATTTTTTTGTATACAATTCCTTCATTTTGCTACGGAAAACAAGGAGGCTGCTGTTTCTCATATTAGCTAAGAAAAACAAACAAAAAAACCCAACAGCACATATTTGTTGCAAAGCAAACAAATATGGCAGGAAGGGGAGAAGATATGTTGGGGAGTAGAATAAGGGCATCACAATTTGCTTATATTAATAAAATTGAAAAATACTGAAGAGGACAGAAATGTGTTTTTCTTCTCTGAAGGAAGAAAAAACCCTGAGACTGAAACACGACCGGTATAAAAACGCCCAGGTTTCTTATCAATGCCTCCTAGTACACTTTTGCTATGGTCACTTAATGAAAAGGACAAAAAGGACTGGATGAAAAAAGTTAACCTGGGATTTAGGGACTAGAACTAAGGAAAAAAAATACAACAACAATGCTGATGTTTGCAGAATCTGAACAGGTCTAGAGTGTAAAGTGTGGTGTCATCCCCTGCCCTCCTTGATCACCAGCTCAACAGTTCAACCTTCACAGATCCAAAAAGGTTTCCAGCACTTTTCAGGAGGCCTTGCTGTCCAAGCCCCTCCTGCATACAGCTCCAGCTCACCCACCAGGCTCTATTTTGTAGAAATCAGCAGGAGGTGCTGGTGAGAGGAGAACATAAAAAGCAAAGCACTTTGGGGTTCATACTACCAGACTGGTGTGGCAGAAATAACTCCCTTTATGCTGTTCAGCTGCCGCTTGTTACAGTGGAAAAGTGACTCAGTTAAATGAAATTTACCTTCAACCTGCATCAACCTGGAGCAAAATCCTTAAGTTTTTTGGAAAACCATGTTTGATTTTAAAGATACTTGAAAAGTATAATAAAAGGAAAGCAATCTTCTGGAGTGGGAAACATTCACAGTTAATCCTAAGAAAGTAAATAAATAATGATTTAGCTTAATTGTTAAAGAGGCAAACACATTAACAGTAAGTGCTGGTAAGTTTGCCCTGCTCTGGCTAGGGAAAGCACTTTATGACCTGTACTGCTCAGGGCATGAAGACCTACCTGGAAAAGAGCCCTTCCTTCCAATAGAGGAGGAGACAGCATTTAGAGATTAACAAAAAGTTTTCCAGTTTTAACTCAAAACTTACAGGGACAATTAGCAACTTAGCACAGCTTTGTGCAACTCTGATGCAGCATCAGTTTATGTAATATTGATCCTTGTACAGCTTCTTCATCTTCCTTGCAAAACCTCCCCCAGGACCAAATGCAGCAAGAAAGAAAAGCATAAAAGTGCACTGGAAAAACAAGAATGAAGAATTCAAGAGCTGGCATAGCACACAGGCACCAACTCCAATCCTGTGTTACCTTGCTTTCAGACCAGCTGCTGCCAAACAAACTGACTCTGTGGTGCCCAACCTTCCTTTGATCAGTTCTCTGAAAGCCTGTGGTGGGAGCCCAGCCTGACGGCAATAAATGTGCAGGCTGCCAGCAGGGCTGCACTTAAAGCAAGACCCAGCTATTGTCCTCTGCACCACAGCCCTAACCACTCACCTAAGGGCTACTCTGACCTCCGCAGGAATTGAGGAGAGTTCCTAGAGAGTTTTTCATCCCCAAAAGTTTTAAGATTGTACAAAGACTTGAAGTCGTTATTTGTGATGGCGATGGCAGTCCTAACCCAGCCAGCACTCCCAACTTCAACAAGGCCTTGCCTTTGCACTGATAACCTCTGTATTAAAAAGCACCTTTGCTTTCAGAGAATCCATCTTTGTGAAGCACTGCTAATTTAACTTTACCTGTTACAATACAGATCAATTTTAAGCACGGTCCAAAAAAGACATATATGTTGTTCAGGCAAACAGTAACAGACTGCATAAGAAATAGAGATTTTCAGTAAAAGACTGCTGGATGGAAGGTGACAGATACGTGTACACAGGAGCAACAGACAAGGGAACTCTAGCATAAGGAGGAAACACTCTGAAATTCCTTGCTGAGGTATTAGAGATAAGCCATATAGTGTCTGGCCTATACGGAAAACAGGTTTCAAAACAGCACATTCATTCAGCTCTGCTTTTGAGTCAAGGATTTAGAAACACCTACATTGGATCAGTTTGACCTTTTTTTTTTTTTTTTTAAAGCCTTTCCAGCCCTACTAGTCCTACAGAGCCTGCAAGGCCTTTGCACACGAGGACAACCATCTAATGCAGATCCCAAAGACCTCTTCTTCATGCTTCTTGCAGTCAAATGGGAAAAGGGACACACTACAAGCACCTTGGGCAGCGAGGGAGGTTGTAATATTCTTCAGCAGGGAAGGAGAAGCAGGCATCTCAGCAGTTAGCTACAGTTTGCAGGGCTGCCTTTCTTCAACCCTGTTCTTGTTTTTGGTCAGTGAGTAACTCCAATCTAAATCTAAACCAATAGGGAGATACTGTGAAAATATTTTTAGAGGAGCTTTCCAGAGGCTAGTTCAGAAGTGGCAAGTTACAGGGAGCCTGATTTGCAGGCATGAAAGAGAAATATGTCCTGCATGATTTCTAGGACATCTAGACATTTCAGGAGTGGAAGAAAGTAAATTGAGATTAGGGTTTTAGGCATGACTTTCCCCAGTCTTAATCAATTAAGCTCTTTCAGAGGCTCCTGGCAGAGCTTCCAAACATCTAAAATACCTCCCACGTACTACAGGGGACAAGAGTAGCTTTGTTCCTCAGGAGCACAACCAGCCTTACTGCTTATTATATCTTCAAGTGAAGAATAAACCTGGTTTTGGTATAAACAAAAAACTTTAGAGAAAGGTTTACGATTTCAGGCACAGAACTGACAGCAAAGGCTCCTGGATTACACAAGTCACATAACTGTGTTTAATATTGTCATTTGATCAAAAAAGTGCGGTAAAACTAGCCCAGGGCAGATATAGTCTATAAGCGAAAAAAAAAAAAAAAAAACACCGCCAACAAAAAACAAACAAACAAACAAAACAAAACAAAACCAGCACACAAACACTACAGAAACAGTAGAACCCTTCTGCAGGTATTAAGTTATAACAAAGCTAGGTTCTCTGTTTGTTCAGGAAATCATAAGCTATACCTGTGGGATGAAGCCTCTTCATGAGGCTCAGACTTTATGATATGAAGTCTTGCTCCTCCATATCATAATGCAGAGACTGTAACCGCAACAAGCAGGGTCCTTCTTTTCACCAGTCTCAAATTAGGAACAAGTTTATTAATCCACTTTTACCGGCCCCAAGCTTCCCACACACCAAATACATTGTTGCATCCTCTGGCATTCACAGTACTCCAAAACGATTAGTTTCTATTCCTGTTTTCATAGGAAGTGCATAACGTGCATGCCTGTCTCACACTAGTCTGTCACTAGGCACGTAGGTAATTAAGCTTTGGCACAAGCTATGGCAAAGCTCAGGTAACTCATTTTTTAATCAGCCAACATTAGAACTGAAGCTCACTTCCTTAGAGTGAGTGCAGAAATGCTAGAACCAGCCCTTACTCTAAAACTCAGTGAGGGCTCTGCTATGTGCACGGGACGATGCAGCTGAAGCCTCCAAGTGGGGCACATCACAAAGATTATACGTACAAAGGTCTTCTGGGGCAGCAGGGACAAAGGCAGCCATGGATTCATAGAGCTCTTCATCACAGCCAGGATTCAGGGAACATTTCATCAACAGGTCAGTGGACAGATGAGCCATGGACTCATAAACAGACTCATCCTTCTCGCCTTGCATGAGCTCTTCTTTAATGTGACTCTTCAGCATATCTGCAGTTTCCTGGAAAGAGAGGAATATAGGAAAAAATGTTCAAGTCTCCTTTAAATACGGAACCTGAGAAAAGCAGGAGACCTCTCTCCCATCAGCCATGGAAGGAACCTTCCAAAAGCATTCCATTCTCAAAGACCATGGCTTTTCATATAAATTAAATCTCCATTACATCTGTCTGGGCACAGCTTTCAGGATCTTCACTGAAGATAATGAGTCTTTGTGACCACAGCACAAGTAAACCTGGTGCTTCTACAAGTAGCAGGATCTGAACAAGAGCCACTTGGACTCCCATCATTTGGATCCACAATGCAAAACAAGTGGTGGAAGAATAGTCAAGTCCAAATACAAGATGGCTTTTGGGAAGCAAGGCATCACACACAAGTCATTTAACTTCACCTGCACAGTGACCGCAGACACAAAGTATGCTAGGGCTTATGGGCTGGGAAGAGATCCCAATTTCCATAATAAATGCAAGATTAATAACCAATATTGCTACAATATTAACAACATGACAACTCCCCAGGTTCACCTTGGGAAGGTGAAACAAGGAGGTGCTGACACATTCTGAGCAGTCATTACTGCCTCCTCCTTCAGTTTTGTTTTCTGCTTGCTATCTACAAGCTCCTGGAACATAAGCGAAGCTCATTCTGAACACATAAGGCTTGCGAAATGCTATTTCTGGGGAACTGTGGCTGAACACGATGAGAACGCTTGCCGCATGCAGAGCACTTACAAGAAAGCAAAGTTTTAGCTTTGCTCTGGATTCAGTTTCAGTTTCTTGGCAATAGCAACAGCATGTTAACACCCAAAGTGGGAGTACACAGACCACCTTCACCAAGAGTCTGACAGGAAACCTCACAGCAGGCAGCTTCTTGCAACACAGGCAACTCTTGATTTGCAGGATAGCAAAGCTATTTCTCAAACATTTGCCACATGAGAGGTACTGCCCTTCAAAGCTGCACAAGAAAGCAAAGTATAAAGCTTCCCTCATCCCCAAGCTATGCCATAAGCACAGCTCTCTTAGCTGGTTGCTGTACAGCAAGATATCCCTTTCCATCCACACCTTTCACCTCATGGGCCTCCATCCACGTGGCATCCGTGTCAATGTTTCCACACACACTTCCCTCCACAGTCGAAGTGGGTCAGCATTTGACATGCTGTGCTTTAGGGAGGTACCAATTAACTTACCCCAGAGAGAAAAGGGATTTCCAGATACCGATGCTAGTACTGCCACACAGGGCTCCCAGCCATTACCCTGCAGCAGACGCATCGCTTGTGTGGTCTGGCTCTAAGCCAAATTGATACTTTGATGGGCAGCAAGCAGGGCTCACTCTTAAACACTCCTCTGTCACAATGTTGGAGAGGATAGAAGAGCACATTCCAGCCATGAGAGACTGGCAGCATTTCCCAAGCATCTCACACTTGCCCCAACCAAAAGATTTTTATCACACTGGCAATTTTTCAGCCATCCTGATCTTGGAACAGGGAATGGCCTGTATTTAACTCTTGCATATAGCGCCCAATCCATCCTTGTGTCCAGAAGCAGATAATACTATGACTAATCAAAAAGCATCTGGGGCTGCACTGACCCAACCATCCTCTTTTCCTGTACTACTCCCTAGAGCAAGCGCATTGAAGGGACATGGTACTTTTAGCAAGATCAGGGGGTTAGAAAAGCCTAACACAAGGTACTACATCTCTGCAGAAGCATCGTTAGACAGGTGGGAAAACAAGTATGGCAGACTGCTTCCTTCTTGTTTTGCATTATTCAGAAGCTCTAAGAATTACTCTGGCTTCAAAGCTGAACCCCAGCCTCCATCTGGGAAGCTCTCATGGTGGCTGAGCACCTACCTTGCACACCCTTCCATACCCTACCCCACCACAGTGCCCTTTACTACCCCAGCATTCCTGATCCCACAACACTTCCAGCACCAAGTCTGGTGCCTCTACCCACCCTGCTGTAGGGGAGCACAGAGAGAATCTTACCACATATTCATCGATGAACTGGCGGAGGTCTTTGAAGCCATGCTTTTCTGCTATCGTGTTCGGATAGTGGCCGTATTTGTTGGCTACACTGTAGGCCTGCAGTGCTCCAGGGCAGGTAAGCAGCAGGGCAGTGAGGTTCTTCAGCCCGTATCTTGCAGAAAAGTGAAGCAATGTTGGCAACTCTTCATCCCTCTGATCTGTGAGAAAAGAGGACTGTTTAAAATCTAAGCTTCTGTCTAATAGGAATAGATCCAGTAGGTCTAAAGAAAGACTTCCAAGCAAAGACACAGACCAAAACAGGCATGAAAGCCCTGAAAAGTACATACACCACTACAAAATGGAACTAGCTTGGCACGAGTGAACTATCAGAGGCAACTAGTGTATCTTCAGCTCTAAGTTCTATGATCTTTAGTGGGGAATCTTGTACTGTAATAGTGGAAGATATGTAGGACCACTCTTCCCCAAATCATTATTCCAGCAGGAACCAGCTGGTGTAAGGCACACATACCATGGTGCCACACTCATCCAGCTTAAGAGTCCATTCTGCAAATTAGAGTCATGGAGCTGGGGAGAAATGCCACACAACTGGAAGGAAGAAAAGGGACAAGACATTTGGTGAGGGGCACTGTCTTTTCACTGTGGTTGTTTGAAGCTGTCCAGACAACTCTATCTGTCACAATGCAATGATATGAAACTGATGCATGTAGTAAAAAGCGTGACCCAAATCAAAGAGCAGGCCCCCTTCTATAGGCATCAGACTTTTAGCTTCCTGGCTGAGATCCAACATTTCTAGACAGCCTGTATATGCACTGTAACACTGCAGTGTTAAGGAGCTCCAAGGTACCTTCAAGGAATATAACTGCTAAAGTTTAAGGAAATTAAAAAAAAAATAAAAGAAAAGAAACTTTATAACTTACTTGTTGTCATATCTTCTTCTTCCAGCTGGTTTATTCCAAACAGGTGCAAACCACTGGCAGGAATGTTCTTCTTCAGTGACTCAGTCAGCAGTTTGTCCAGTGCTTCTATGCTGTATGGCACAATTTTAAAGGCCTAGAGATAAATGGAAAGTGATTTTTATTTTTTTTTTAAGTCAATATCTATAAGGTGATTTAGCAAGGTTTGTTTAGTATGCATCAGAAAGCACTACACTAGTTTTTTGGTCTAGAAATAGAGTATCATTGAACTGAATAGATGAGATTTTATATTCCAAAAGCAGCTGAAAACACAACAAACAAGACAATGCAAGGAGGCAGTCAGTTATGTAACTGGGAAGCAGGGAGGACAATTATTTCCTACTTCCTTGATTAGTATCATCTCTCTTATGAAACTGCAAAAGAAGGATAATTCCTCCTCTAAGTAGGAACCTGCTCATTATGAATTATTCTGATATACACTCTGGGTTTGGCTTTTGGAACCAGTTCTTGATCGAAAACTGTGAAGCATCACTATTTCCCAAGTAGAAGCACAAAGGCACCTCTTGCTCTATAACCTGAACTAAAAAGAAAAGAGAGAAGAGACTCATCAGCCTCAGGATGCTGGTGACTGTCAGTACTCTGTAGGCATCTGCTCTGCGGCTGATCAGGGACATGCAAACAGGTAGTAAAGGCATCAGAGCTAGAGAACTTGCTCATGAAAGCTAGAGCAGTGCTCAGTGATCCCCTAGAACGTCCAAAATATGCCATGGGAACTCAGGATTGTCTTTAAAAATAGCTATTAAGAACAAATTCAGTTAGTTTTATTTTACTCTATTTCATTCAGCTATTTGGAAACTTTGCCAGCTTTTCACATCTTTTCCAAAAGGCTTACGTACAGATTTCCAACCAATTTCTTCATAAATGTCTGTTATTATCCAGTTCTGTCATTTCAATTTTTCTAATCATGCTTTTGCTAAAAGGAAATGTTGTTAGGCTACCCTCAAAATAACTTTACATTTTTTCCCCTCTCAGAAGAGCTATCTCATAGCAGGTGTTTTTACTTATGTCTACTTGTCTGCCATCTGAAACAGCTGTTTTCCAAAGCAGCTGTTGAGTCATTACCTGGCACATGAACTGCACTGGATTAGCTGCATTAGCCAACAGATTGCTGACTTCCTCCATATCTGTGTGATAGATGATGCTTGTTTCTCCCACCATCAAGTCCCCTGAATATATCTGCATAGGCACTGTTCCAGAAGTTAAATCTTTGAAAAGAAAGAGAAGAAATCACCATTCAG